CATTAATACTGTAAGTTGTTTCTTAAATACTAGCCAAAAAAATTTCTACTCGTTTAGGAACTAGTCAAACCTGTGCTCCTGGCTTTCCAGTAAAAACTGTCACATGTTAAGAGACTCACATCTTCTCAGATCCTCCTGCTACCTCTTGTCCATCATTATCCCAGATTAATGCCTGTACCTCCTTTGTTCTGCAACAGCCTTTGCTGACAGTTCTCCAAAAAAGTATTTTGCTGTACTGCATGTTGAGAAATGCATGCCACCAACCATCCTTCTCATTTAAGTTACCACAGAGCAGTCACATCATGCCATTTTCTCTGGGTCATTTGTGCAATGTCAGGTAAGGCAGGATGTGACTCAGCCATGACTGGCTTCAGAAGTAGGACTCTGAAATCATCTGGTTTCAGTCTACTTTGGGAATTCTTGGGACTGACAGATAAAGGAAAGTGAACCAAGAGAAAATTAATGATAGATGCTCTAAATCTTGGTCTTCTACAAGGCCTCCATGTACCCCTTCCTCAGAAGACATTGATTCTGTAGTGCTCTGAAGGTTATAGGAGATTGGGGAACTTGATTTTTCCTCTCTTTCTATTTCCTTTTTTTCCCTGTTCCACAGAATAAATCTTCCTTTCCTCCAGCTCTAGGCTGTTTAATGTTAGAAAGCAATTTTTCTGTCAGCAGCACCCGGAAAAACTCTTCCCAGACAGAAGATCCTATCTCCTCTTTCCCTTCTAGCGAGGGTGGCTTGGAAACCACCTTGTCATGAACCAGGCCTCAGCCTCCACCTTTGCTTTGAGACAAATCCTTGTTAAACTTTGCCTAAGGATGTCCTGTGCTCTGAAGGATGGCTTGAGGCCATCCTTCACAAAAGCCAGAGAACCTTGCTTTAACATTCCTAATCTCAGAGATACACACAAACATACACTAAAGTTCTGATCAAGGCCGTGGAAGGCTGCATCTCTTATACATTTTTAATTATAATATCAAACATAAGATACACAAGTTCACATTCCTTCAGCCTAGAAAGTCACTTTTTCCTAAATGATATCACAGCCTCTCTTACACAGTGTCGTGAAGGTGAATTAATTTCATACCACTAAATTTCATAGAACTGAGCTGAACCTTACATGACTTGCATATGGATGCCAGGTATAGCCACAATTTAATCCTTTGCTATTCATGAAAACAAAGTGCATACGCCTTTATCAATTCTATTGATCCAAACTAATATTTTCATGGAATACTTGGCATTAAGACAAAATATTTATACCCAAAATAAGAAAAGCGATACGTTTCTTTTCCATACATTGTTTTATCTATCTCACTGGGTCCCTCCCATTGAGTTTTCTTAGACTGATATGATTCACAAATTGCCCTGCAAATATGGTTCTCCCATACAGACCTACTTGCACAAGGTGACCCCCTAAAAGGTGCAACAGGTCCAAAGAGGGGACAGAATGACAAGAGAGGAAAGAAATCAGAAGTATATAATAACCTTTTAGGACAATTCCCACCATTTTCCCAGGTAAACATGTCTGATATGAGCACTTCAATCATGCACAGATAGATGACACATTTGTGTGTGGGCAGAGGATGAAATTGGGTGTGGACTGCGTGCCTCTGCAACAGACACAGTGATAGGTCTAACTCAGCACCAGGGGCACTGAGTCATCTGTTCAGAGCTTAGAGTTCTTCATCATTCCCTTTATCACATGGAAAAATCCTGGCTGGATTGCCTGAAAATTTTTCCTTGCTGGCTGGGGCCCAATCTGAGAGAAAGGCCAACAGCACAGCAGGATTTAGACACACTTGGAAACCCTCCCCAAAGTCCACTGATTTGTGGAAAGGGATTGCATACCGTCACAATAACATTGAGCACTCAGAAATGTTATTTTACTTCTTTCATCCTTCTGCAGAATGAACATAGGTGAAAATACACGGGCTTGTATCTTAAGTGACACTTGAAGGATTGAGCTCAGAGGCAATTGAAAAATCCAAGCATCTATCAGTGTATGGAAGTGTGTAGAGAAAAAGCAATATCTAATTTTGGGCAATGATCACCACGATCACCACAGATGCTGACCATGAGTAAACATCTCTATATTCTGAAATCATGCCCAGCATCAGTTTCACATTTTCTTTTTCCTACCTTTTCAACACAAATTGGTAAATTAGCTGCATGCCAGCAAACCCGGTGGCATGATGGCAGAGATGTACTCCCTTATTCTCAAAGCAAAAATACAACTACAGCCAATCTTAACAGCCTGAGCCAAAAAAAACCTCAGAAAATCTTATGAAGACATGACAATATCACACAATAACACCACAAGTAAGATAGCTGTCGTGGCTTTACTTCTTGTACCACCTCGTAAGACCATGGCAAAAATCTGGTATATATAAATATTCCTGCTGTAGGCAGGAAGAAAAAATATATTGTTACTGCATAACTTCCAGATGCAGGCCTTGACCATTACACACATGCAGTCAAGTGAAAAACATTATAGGAGGAGTATTATGTATTATAGAGGAATTATATTACCAACACTCCTAACAAGGGGGGAAAAAAGGTGGTGCTTGTTAGAATAGGTATTGTTCTCAATTCTCCCCCAGCAGGTAAAACTTACACACGCTGCGGCAAGAGTGGGTTGCAGGGGATGAGCAACCAGAGGAGTGGCTGATTAGCCCCTCCAGTCGAGAAGTAGCTGATTAAATGTGCCAAGTTCAAGGCTCTAGGCTGGAGGTCAAGTCCATCTTTATGTCCTGTCCTCCTGCTTTTGGTGTCACTCAGAAGTGGCTTCTGCATTAGTAAAACCTTTCAGATCAGATTGATAATGTTGGTATCTAACTCTCCTCTTAGCATCTGGCTTTGTAGTAACCTTAATTGATAATCAAGTTCTCAGAGAATGTTTTGTCTGTTGAAGAAAGCAAAGTTTCTATTACAGCTTAGAGAGCTTATCCCCTTCCTGCCTAATGCAGGATTTCTTTTTCTTTTTGCTGAAACAGCTGGAGACCACCACCACCACCATAGGAGACTGGGAAGTGAACTGGATGAACTCTGAATCTAACATAAATCACAGTTTCTATTCTCTCAAAAAAGCATGATCAAATGATTAACGATGAGAGTGAACCATAGCTGAGACATAGGCTGATCCCAGAAAGTGAGTCAAACCCGAAAGTTCACCAGCACAGATCATTATATCAATACCAAAGATCAATTTGGTCAGAAGGTTCCTAAAACAGAAGTCAGAGTGAATGACTAAAATCTGGGTAGACAAGATCCTGCAGCAGCCATCAGATAAAATCAGTTAAAAGTGCAGTTTGTTACAGAAGTCAGCCAGCTCCCTGCATGTCCCAACAACGGTACCCCCAAAAATGCAAGCCCCAGCTGCATGTAAATAGACAGATCAGTTCTTCACATACACCCTGGCTGCCTCTCATTAGCATGAAGCCTACATGTATTATCATGGTTTGTAGAGGTCTGACAACAGAAGCCCGAGCAATGTTATCTCAAGGATTCCTTGTGCCCCCCAGGCGCTCTCCGTGCCCTCCACTGTCTTTGTGCAGCAGTTGGACCATGAGCTGACTGCAAAGGGAGCCCTTTGTTCTCTTTGCAGAAAACGTGTGAGTGACGACAGCAGCAGGAATAATAAATATAAATGGTATTACGCACACATGCAAACATCCCTGCGGAAAATTCAGCCATAGGGTGAATACCCAAATTTTACTTGTCACTTAGCTATTTATAAAGTCAAAGAGACTCAGAAATAGCAAAAATTACTTATTCTTGCCAAAAACATCTCCCAGAGTGGACAGCCCCAGGGGCTGAGATCTGAGCTCTGCTCCAAACAGCAGCAGAACCTCCCCAGCGGGGAATTCCCAAAACAGGAAAGATACCCCAGAGCTGACACAAAGCCAGGAGATTTGGCTCCCACGCCAGACTTCCTCCAGCTGTCAAGACAAGTGTGTCATGGTTTAAAAACCTGCTGTACTCTGGCTATTTCCTGCTCGAGCTGTGGCAGGCTGGGCAACAACAAGAGGAGCTCAAGGGCTCTGTTGAGCATCTCTGGCCCGAGATCAGAAACACGCACCCAGCCCCATCCTCTCCAGTGGCATCCAGAACTGCATGGCACTGCAGACAAGGTCTTTTATCAGTCCCTGTAAGCCTTCCACCACCCTTTTTGTAGTAATGCTTATATGGCATTACTCAAGAGTTCATCTGTCACTCTGCTGGCTGCACTCCTCCTTGCCACCACTCCCCTCAGAGCCATACCTGTGAATTACCTTTTGCTTCCAAGGTATAAGAAACATCCTTTTGGGGTCAGCACCCTGCTGGGGATTATAAGCATGCAAACTGAAGCTTTAAGCAAGTCCATGCATCACTGAGGTTGTATCTTCAAGGGATGGAGTAAACCCTGAGGAGGGGTGATTTTATCTGTTGATAAAGAGTGGGCAGAGAGAGATCTGCAAGCTGTCCCAGGCCAGTATAGACTCAGGCTTTAAAAGTCCCATGTGGTTAAACAATGACTTATGGCTGATCCCTACCTTGCCTGTCAACACTTACCACTGTTTTGCATCCATACCCTTGCTAGAGCACAACTGAAGACCACAAGAAGGGGTAGAAGTGAAAAACATTAATTTAGAACACACCACAGCTCACTCAGCTCCTATGCAAAACAGAAAATCTTGAAGCAGTGGATATTTACAACTTCTTAAAATTAAACTTAAATATAATTCAAGTTGGGTTTTTTTTCCATCAACTGCAAAAGAAGAATTAATTGGAGGAGTATAAACTGAATGCTAGGAGGGTCTCAAAAAACCTGTGTTGGGTTTTTTTGCACCCAAGCCTATTCAAAAGAATACATGTAAATATATGCATAGGAAACAATACCTAGATGCACATTTCCAAACGTGCATAAATATTCAGTAGAGTGCTCCTCTACTGTGGCCTCCTTTTAAATACAGCTTTAAAATCCTTCATGAGTTGAGATGCAGACCCAGCTTACCTTCCTACTTCCCAGCTTCTCTTCACCTTTTGAAACCAAATCCTCCCTGCTGTCTCTATGGTGACAGTGACGTCCACGTCCCCCTGACGAGATGGCTGCTGGCACGCACATCAGGTGCCAGAGCAAATCAGCCAGCAACAGAAACCTCTCCAGCTCCTCCATGGGATGCTCTTCTCCAGAACTCAGACAAACAACCTGGTAAAGAAAACAGGGCTCAGCCACCATTCTATGCCTGAAAGGTGGGTAACTGGGTCTAAAATATTTTTTTTTATTTTTTTCTTCAATAATAATTACTGCTGCTTAGGAAATAAATGTGATAGCACTGCTATCAAAAAGCACATCTGGATAACCTACAGAGAATGAACTAATCAAAGGTAATTTCTGCCAGAGGGTTTGACAGTGAGAAGATACTTGCGTCATGAAGCAGAAGTAGCTGATAAGCAGCATGATGTAAAACCTCCTGCAATGTCCATCCACCTGGCACATGGAACCAGCAGTGACAGAAGGATGTTTCTTGGCACATGGTTAGCAGAGAGAGGAGCAAGAGGGGAGATTTTTATCAAGAGCTAAGTGAGAAGCAACAGGTGGGGCCTGCAAAGGAGTGCCTTTCAGGCAGCCACAGAAGGTGGCTCCAGTGACTTTCTCTCCTTAGGAGAGACACAGTGAGTCACTGGGGTTGCAGAACATCAGCTACTATATACAGCCCTTGTTTTATTTTATGGTGTTTGACAGCCTCGTTGCTAAAACACAACCCCACTGTAACATGCTGTCCTGTAGCACCCTATAGGCACAGCAAAGGATGTCCAGTCCCCACTAGCTCTTCCCTTCTGACTGCCCAGATGGGGGAATATGTGCCAGGGAAGCAACTTTGGCTTTCTGCCACAGAATACTGCCAGCACCAGCTGATACTGCACTCACTGTAGTTGCTCTAGATGGTCTTTATACTCAATGACTTTTTCTAAGTCTGCAGCTGAAGGTCACTGCTCTGTGTCACTGCAACCCTGCTCCCCAATGTCGGGGAGGAGATGAAGGTGTTTGTGGAAACAGGCCTTGCCCTGAGGATTTTAACTGTGCAAGAAACTCTGCTGCAATCAGCTAAGTTCAATTCTTCTCTGATAAAGTCATCTGCTCAAAACTTAAGGGTCCTATTCAATCCAGATAGATATTTGGAAAATTAAATACAGACTTCGATTACTCCCATATTTCCCTAGGCTTTCATGTCCTTTTTCACTGATCAGACAAAAAAAGAGATAGTCCATCATCCTAAAGATGAAAATTGAAATGGCCAAGCACTTTAGGAATAACCCAGAAAAGCAATAATAATTTTTAAAAGCAATAAATACAATAGTATATGACTAAAACTTGCATTGCTGTAATGCATGCTAAAGATCTAGTCCCCAGAGTGGGTTACTGATGTACCATACCCATTGTTTGGATTTTTTCCCCTGTGTTTTCTTGTTCTTATTTATCTATCACCTCTTTCTAGCACTTGGATTGTATATGCTTGGAATTAGAAAGTACTTGCTGCTCTGCATGCTGCCCTTCTCATGCTTGGTTGCTGGGACGTGCCTGAGACTTTTGATGCTACAGTAATATAAAAACAAGGCAGTTTGAGAAGAAATACAAGGAAAGTCCAAAACAAGACAGTATTACAAGACTGACTTGCATATTTAACCCCTGAGAAGTAAGAACTGCATCCGAATGATGCAATGCCTCAGTCTGCACAATTAGTAGGGACAGAAATTATCTTTTCATCCAAATTAATGGAGCTTTCTTTGAATTTTCCTCCTCATGGGAACACCAGTTATAGTTGTGCTGCAGCAGAACAATAGATTTGTGTTTAAACAACCACAACAGAAGCAGAGGCACAGAAAGATCTGTCTCTCCTAGTTGATACAGGATTAATTTCTATTTCACAGCAAGGAGATATAAAAAGCATCCCAATCAAATATCAGGGTGCCTAAGTCACTGGAATAAGCAGGGTTGTATTTCCTGTTGTCAGAGTTGCACAGGTGCCTGTAAGTCCCTTTCCATCAGGGGCTTACAGAGAGGCCCAGCAATGCAACAGAGAAAAGCAGAGGTAATTTGGGCAGGTCCATCAGCCAAGGGAGTACTGGGAAGACCCAGGAAACCAAGGCATAACTAAAAACATTCCTTCTCCAGTCTCCAGAGATGTTCAGCAGCAGAAAGTGACCGCAGGGTGCAGCAGTGTCAGGGTGAGAGCACACAGAGCTGCCCCACAGTAAGGGCAGGCTCCACTGAAAGTGAGACTACCACAGTGCACTGCAGGACAGAGATCAGTCTCCAAGGGCTGACCTGTAACTCACACAAAAGTTTAACAAGAAAAGCACCACAAGAAGAGGACCAGGCTTTAAAGAAACTCACTAACCAATGAAAGATAAACAGAAGTTTTAAACACAGCATCCCAAGCAAAATCTTTAATTCAATAATTTTGTGTATGAATACAAAAATTGATACCTGTGCATGTACACTGTGAAAAAAAATTTCAAGGGATTTTATACTTGGACTTATTGAGGTTATTCACTTGGACTTATTGAGGTTATAAAGTCATCTTTCAAAGAGACTCCCTTCTCAGTCTGCATCCATTTGATATTTCACAGGTATTAAAACACTATGCTATCTAGACTTCAGAATTTAGATCTCATAACACCAATAATGCACATGGTTAAGCATCATGTATTGCATACCACAACTCTTTACACTGTTGAGAGCATTTTTGTATTCTGTGGCCACATCTGACTGGATGACTTTTAGGATTCTTTCGTTTCTAAGTCTTGTCTCTGGCCTTTTGCTGTTTTCATGCTTTTAAAGTTTCTAATGGCAACAGTTTAACACACTTCTAATTGGAAATGCACAAAAATAATTAAAATAGGGTGGGTTCTTTAATATAAAAAAGCTATAATTACGCCTTTTGCTTTGTTTGACAAAGCTATGATTTTTACCAAAACACATGACCAGCCCTCGGGTGGTCTATTCACAGCAAACAATGTATTGTCCTGGGCACACAAGACAGACAAGATGTTGTTTAATTGAGACTCAGACTTCATTTACTTAACTTTTATGGAAACCACCAGCATTAACTTGTAGAGGATGCACCATTATTTCTTCTTTCATCAGCTGAGCATCATCAAAGGTTGCCATCAACAGCTGCTTCTTTCTCATGCATTCAGTTGCATTCATCCCTGGGACACTACAGCTCTCTTTGTATAGGGGTTAAAAAGCCAGAGGGAAGAGGTTTTTTCCTCATTGCACCAGACATACAGAAATACACAAAATCTATTGCCGCGTTCTCCAAAAGGTTTCTTTCCTGAAGTCCAACCTTAGTTCTCAAGACAGTGAAAGTTTAGTTCCTCTCTTTCTTGGAGCCTGAACCCAGATAAGTCATTAGAAGATGAGCAACTCCTAAAACAGGTGAAAAATTCCATCTCTACAATCACAAAGCAGTCCTCCACCACTTCTAGATAGCTTTATTATCAGACATAATAATACAAAGCTAATGAATGATTTCCACCATTCTCAGAGTCAGAAAGGTTTGTAAGTGACCATCAAAAGCTGCTCAGATCAGTAAGGCACAAAGGCACTTCAAAGCACTTAACTTTGAAAACATCATTTTCATAAGAGGAGAGTTTGAAGACGTGTTATTGAACCTGTTTGAACAATTACTGGGCTGTTTTAGGCCGGATTGCACTACTGCACAGAAAAATGATCAAGAGACACAAACAGGTGATCTCCAGGCTTTTTATCGAAGACTCCATTTTCATGGAACTTGAGAGCTAAGTGAAGTGGGGTGAGTGGTGATGAGATGAGTTGTCATGACAAGGGAAGATGCTCACCAGGGCTGCCATCAAAACGGCTGGAGACTCCCTGGGCACTCCGGATCACTTTAAAACACAGCTGCCCACCATCCTTACGCTTGCAAACCTTACTCTGCAGCTGTGGCATCACGTGCCTGGGCAGCACAATTTCAGCTCATGTCTCCCTCAAGCAGAAGGTGACTTGGCCATGTCCATCTCATCCAACAGCTGTGCTCTCCTCAGTTTGAGTCTGCAGAGCCAGGGCACCCATGACAGCCCGTGTTTGTCCTACCTGCAGTGACACCACTCCACTGTGATGTGCCCTCTCCATCAATGCCTGTCTCTTCCTATCAGGAAAATACGACTGCATGCTCCATCCAGGAGTCAGCAGGAAAAACAGCATGTAGCCAACATGGATATCCATACACACAGTGGCTCAAGCCTAAGCTCAAATTCTGAGTCAATATGATGACATGGACTGTCCACAGCTCCCAGTATCCTGATCCCTGAAGTTGTTCACCAAGGGTTTGACATCTGTCAAGTGTGCTTCTATTTCACAGGACAAATTCAGAACAAGCACATGTAGCCACACAATTATGCCTGCCCATAAGGACTCAGATGTAACACATTTTCCCATTCCAGTATTATTGAAGAAACATTTCATTTTCAGTTGTGTTTTCAGAAGGCTAACAAGGGGCTCATGAATACATCAAAGCAAAGGCATATTATTCATTTACAACAAATGTTTCTGATTTCATTCCCTCTGACCATTCAGACAACACTTTATTAAAAAGCTAGAAAAAACTCTGATGTTTTTCAGGACTACCTCCCATAACCCTAGGTCCTGATCTATTTTACACAACACAATTTGCAGATTATTCACAGGACATGAAATGGAGCACAGGTTCCAGCTCTCTGGAAACCCGAGGTCTGTCAGGAAACCACCTTCCAGCTGAGATGGAGCCATCTCCAGCAAATGCAATCAGCTATGAAAACAGTGGGAAGTACACTGTTCTACACGCATTGAAAATATATACCCTTAAGGGTCTCACACAAACTGCACCTTTGGTTGACTTCTGAATGGAGTCTCCAGGTGGTTAAAGCACTGACATTGCATTATTTACGGTGATTGAAATGTATCTAAGTAGTGCTTAGCAATAGAATTTACACAAAGACACTTGATGGAAAAAATAAGGGGGGGGGGAGGAGGCTGTTTACAAAAC